TGGCCCATTTCTAGAACGGGGTATCAATTTTAGGGGAATTTTTTTTAGAACGGGGTGCCAATTTGGAGTCCCGGGCGGCACATACCCACCCAAAAAATACCCAAGTGCCCCCCCCCCACCCGGGGTTTCGTCCTGGTCACTGGGGTTGTAGGCAAGGTCCAGCGATCTGTTACTAATTCATCAGATTCTGCTAACATGTCCACGATTATCCAGTGTTGCTTCCATACTCGTTTGCTTGTGGTTGATGTGTGAAAAATGTCATTTCTAAGACCATCAAGGCATGATACATAAATTGGATGTGTTATTTCATTATTGAGGCAACTTGGTTACGCTGAAAGAGAAGAGGTGCTTTGAACGGTCATCCTCTTTCCTTGTCTACAAGTTGGGAAACCCTTCCTCTTGACAAGGCAAAAATTTTTCATTTCCTAAACTTCTGCAGATAAGGAGATTGTGACGAATGAAAATGACATTTTCGAGCTCTTGAAGAACTTGGATATAACCTCAGTTGCGATTAGTTATATTTGTTTCAAAAATGAAATTCTTTTTAACATCATCAAAGAAAACGCGGCTCTCTTCGATTTCATGCCATGCTGTTATACCTTCCAAACTGTTCTCCACAGGGAGGGCATCCTGATCTCGTCGCGTCGGAGTGTTTGATAACACTAATATCAAATCTTAACTTAATGAAAGGGTTAAAATAAATCTTTGCTCAATGTCCCCGATAATGTCTTCAATTTCCCGGAAAATTCCCCAGGTTTCCCAATTCCCGGCAAAATCTCCAGATTCCCGCCGCAATAAATTTTTGGTTTTTCAGGGGCACCCAACGAGAATATAGTTCAAAACCACATAAACATAGCATTGTTGAACGTACTTTGGTATTTAAACAGTAGATAAAGGCTTATTTTTATCCCCTAAAAATTTTTTCATCTGTTCGGATGTCCTAGCTGAAAGTATAGTGATTCGAAAATTATAGGGATCAAAATCTACCTTTCCGAAAATTTCAGCCAGAAAAAAGGCTCCCGAAAATTCTAGGTGACCTTTTTGGGGTAAAAATCCGTTAAAAATGGGCAATTATACCATTTTTTTGAAGTTCGAAAATCCTAGGAGAAGCAGGCAAGCAAGAAATTTTACAGAAAATGATCCGAAATTCTAGATCTCAAATCGTCTTCCGAACAGATAATTTTCCGAAAATTGTCGTTGGGTGCCCCTGGTTTTTCTCCCGAAACAGCCCTCTCGCTTTGAAGCTTACCTTTGGCCAGATGTCATCTGGGTAGCCTGCGTAGCATGGCGGCCCGCGGCTTCGCCGCTCCTTCGGGCCCGGCTCGACAAAACCGCCATGCTACGCAGGCTATCATCTGAGTGAAAAATTGTCGCTCAAAAAAAGGTATTAAACAGTGCTTGGGAGGCCTGAAATGCAGCAAGAACGCAAAGAAAAACTAGAAAAAGGCTAAAAGTAAGCTTCAAAGCGATATTCAATGCATATTTCATTAATTTAGTGAGCAAAGAATATTTCTCATACAACGTCTTATAATTTTCTTGCTGTATGAATAATTTTAAACTAACCTAGAAGGGTAGTGTTGTTCTTCGGTACTTAGCATCCTAAGAGGCCTGAAACACAGTCAACAGAGAAATAAACATAATAAAATACTAAATGCAAGCTTAAAAGGAGAGACTTAAAGCACGCCTCGCTCAATTAAGGAGAAATAGGATAATTCTCATACAACGCCTTATAATTGTTGCCTTATGAATAATTAATTACCTAATGGATAATGCTGCTCAGGGCTCTCATAGTGAGCTTGGGCTACCTGTGTTTCCATTTCTCGCGCGGCCAAAACCGAAAATGCCGTTCCTCGGTCCTTCTTTGCTCCGAAACCAAACGCAAACGCTTGCTACGCAGGCACAGGCCATAGGACTTCTTCCACATCACTTCGCCATAACTTAGGCGAGAAATTTTTTTTTTACACTAGTCATCTGTACCAAACTTATCCATATCTAGTTAGTTGGAATACAGTCGTACCATTTTACTTTGCCGATAGAACAACACTGGCGGAAATATAGAATGATAAAAAAAAACACGTAAAACGCGTTCATTAACCCAACTGAAAAAGAAAACAATCCAGTTGCAGCGGAAACGCAAAACGGAAAACGGTCTTTAGAAACAAATCGAAACACAGCTGAACTCCGCTCAAAACGGAAACATACGAAGAACCGCAAAGCTGAGAAAACAAACAATTAAACTAGTAATAGTTGACACTACAGCTGCCCCCGCTCTGTATATAGTATTCTTGCTCCTTGTGTAGCTCTTTGAAATATACCGATTCATAATGAAGATGTTCACACATATTCCATACAATATTAAGTGAGATCAGAAATTCATTCTGGTGAGATAAATACAGGAAATAAACGAAAGGTTCCATGCACAGTTTCGGTTCGATTTACAGAGCTTTGATCAAAACATTCTCAGTTTCGAGAATTTATTCTAAACCACAAGAAAAGATTTAATTAGAAGTTGAATTTTTCGCTATTTCTATTACTTTTTACATTTAGTTCCTTTTATTTGCCAGAAAGTAAGCCTTAGAAATTAAAAGGACGTTTGATCAGCTCACACTCCGCATTCTAGTCTTGTTTTAAACTTTATAGGGGAAGGACATCTGTGAGCAGGGAATAAGTCAGCACAGCTTATCACTAGTTCTGCTTGTGATAGGCTAGCCGTTGAATCTTTCACTCGTCTTGCTTGTTTTGGGCCGAGTCTTATATTCCGTTAAAAGAGACAGAAAGAGTGTCTGGCAAGGTTCAGCTGAAGGTTTTCAATCAAAGATTTGTGAACTCGTGTCTGGCAAACTCACTTAGTGTTAAAATATACACTGTTCTACGCACCTTATAACTTCATCTGCGCTTAACGCGTGTCTTTTGGTCCATAACTTTCATAACAACTGCTCCACAGAATGTCACTGATAACCGGTAACGCAAAAGAGTATCGAAGTACGACTACACAATTAATGCCACAAAATTTACCTATTGTAAGCTTTTTGTGTTTTACGTCACTAACCATTTCGTACTTGCGGGCGCAAACAATAGAAACGTCATCATTTCCTACCGATTCCTCGCGGCCCCTGTTCAAGCAAATCGAGCGTTTTTCTGTATTGACTGTATGACTGTATATTTCGACTGTAAGTACTTTCCTTAATATACGCGCGAGTTACTAGAGTGCCTCCTCGGGATTTCGCCCAGAAGGCGATTAACAAATTGAAAAGAGAAATGGAACACAGATCAATAATGAAGGACACAAAGCAGGGACACAAAGTGGAAAAAAATGGGACAACAAAAAAACACGACAAGAATCAACAAGAAATGGCTGTAAGAATTACAAACTTGGGAGTCACATAACCGTACGTTCTGCCAAGTGAATTCCAGTGGCCGTTCATTTAACATCCTGTATCGCTGATCAGTGTAACTAAGGTTACTCTTAACTCTGCTCTTAACTAAAACAGTTTATATGATCCTTCGACATACTTCACCGAATTTTATCGAATCTCAGGAGCAATAAAATCAGGCCAGACAGCTGGGGACAGTGTTTGGAAACCAAACACCATTTAGGGGACATCTTAGCACTCAAAACGTGACTGACAGCAAAAATCGTCTTGATAAGTTAAGTTTAAGAGTTCACTAGTCACAATGGTGACACCCTCAATCCTCTATTAAGTCCCGGGGGGGGCTTAATAGAGAAGGGGGACTTATTTCAGAGCGGAGCCTTATTAAATTTAGAAAAGACGATGGTATCAGTTCTCCATAAAGAACTAGAATACAAAGTGGAAACGCTCAAAAATAGAACAAGAAGGTTGGAGGTCATGCAGCCGAGCATCACAGTAAAATTCGAACTTCCAGTTGGTGAATAAACCTTCCCGGATCAGTCCACACAAAGTTTTACAGTCGTAATTAATTAACATACATGTACTCTCTCGAGTCTTAGTCAGAAGAATAATTAGGGGAGGGGACCGGTGTTATTAACTTTCTTCCCCTGAAAAGGGAGGGAGCCGGCTAAATAAAGGATTTACAGTATAATCGATGTATTACACTTGTGGGAATTCAACTCTCCATATCGCAGAGATAAGTTAACTAGAATCAAGAGCCACAAACAATTCTGCACATGTTTGTGTTGTTTGACTGCAAATGTTTGTATTTTATGTATTTTGGGGCCGTAGATCTCTTATAGATCCGATATGCGGTAATTTTTGCGTGGTTCTGTCCATGTTTTTGAGGTTGGTTCTGGCCAATCCTTTATTTTCTCTCCGAGACTGACATCAACTTGACACTTGGACTCTTACCCTCCAGAAGACACGTTATGGTGTAATTCTGTTGTACTGTGGGGCAGTATTCTACTTGCAGAATTTTAAATGTCTATAAGTTAACTAGGAATTTTTATGCGTTATCTAGCTGCTTGAAATAATGACTGCAGAAGATTCCATAGACTTGCTACAAGCCGACCTTTTGTCGAGCGGAGCGAGCCCTTTTTGGCCGCGAAGCGGCCGAACGCGAGCGACGAAGTCGCGAGAGGTCGTCCTTCGTCCCGCCCCACATGAAATCCGACGAAGGACTTTTTTGAAAGTCTAAAGATTTCGAGGCAGAATTTTTTTTTAAAAAATTACTTGTTGGTTAATCATTAAAAAAAACCCAGCCCAACCTCTAGGGACACCTGTCTTGGTCCGAGGGCCCTCTGAAAAGAGGTTCTACTGTACCTCGCCTTATATCCTCATGCAAATTCTGTTGCCCTCAAATTTTGGCCCAAAAACGTATCCCTTGGTTTCTGAATACCTCGGTAAAAACATTGCGGTGAAAACTGCCTAAGTGAATGGTAATACCGAGTTACAATTTTTCCCCTGTTGTCAATACTCAAGATTACCTCCGCCACGCTGACGAATCCCTGGGCCTGGTGGGGCTAGCAGAACGTCTTTCGACATTCATATGACAGCTTACACAACGTAGTAAGCTGTTTTTCAAACATGGCGTCCAAGATGGATGAAGATTCCGAAGAAAAACTCAAATCTGTTGCAACACAATTACCGAGCGACGAAGGAAAAAATGATGGCCTTGACGTAAAGCAAATAAAAGAGGACAGAGATAGGATAGAAGCTTCTAAAGCATCGAAAAACTCTGAAATAGTTAACGAAGTAGTGGACAATTTTTCTGGCGACGAATCTGAAAGTGAAACTTTTCAAGATGCCGTTCAGGATTTACACTTAAATGAGAAAATGGACTCTTTAGGAACAACAGAAGATGAAGCTGAAAACAACGATAAGTTAAAGGACGGTGAAGGTGTTGCTGAGGAGCAAGACATACTTACTCCTGAGGAGAAAGAGGTTTGCACACAATATTTTCCTAATTTAAGAGAATTTTCTTCAGATTCCATTTAAGCTCATTTAATGTACGCACCTCCCGCTGACGAAATTTTCTGAAGAGGTTTACAAAAAAAATGGAATTTCTGAAGGTTGTAAGACTAAAGAACAGGGCTTAACTACAGAATACAGGGCAAATGTTCAAGGTATATTCGTTGGGGCAGCTCGGCAGGTTGGTAGTCCTGACTGAAGAGCCACTGATCCATTTAGTCAGTAAACTGTATAACCATGACTGAAGAGCTGCCAAGCCACCAAGTCACTAAAATATATACCTTTCTCGATCTTTAAGACACTAACCTTGACTGATCAGCCATCGAGCCACCAAGCCATAAAAATATTCATCTTTTCTTGCTCTTTAAATTTTATGTTTTCTTTTTCTATGTCTGTCGTAAATTTATACGTCTCATATCCTTCTCATTCCCTTGTCATGGCTAGCAAGCCTCCAAGCCACTTCTGTTTAAGACCTTAAAATTATTATGGCCCTGTATTCTGTATTTGTTTGTAGAGCAAATTTTCTGAGCAGATATATGTGTTGCATGTTTATCAGTGAATTTTTCCAAGGGCTTTTGGGGGGAAAAGAGGGGTAAAGAATGGTAACTCGAAAAACATAAGTCTAGAAAAATTTTGGCCAAGTCTTGAAATCTCGGAAATGTTTTTGATGGGTCTCGAAGTCTTGTTTTCAAGTGATTATTACGTCTTGGAGTCTCAAATTTTTTTTGCCAACGGATCTTGGAGTCTCAGATTTGTTGTCCCTTTTCATTTGGTCTACCCTCAACAGTCGAAATTTTTCAGAATTCATGGGTACAGCTTATCAAACTCGGGTAGTAGATTAAGACAGTAAAACTTAACAAGGTAAAACAGTATTTTGATGGGCTTCCGATAGCTTCCATTGGCATTTTCAGTCACAGTTATTTAGCTTTACATGTGCCATAATCTCAGCAAAAATTTTCGGCGATTAGAGTCTCGGGTTCGGAATTAATAAAGACACTGAAGTCTTGGTCTCGAATTTTGAAACCAGGGTCTCACAGTCTGGAAAAGGCTCAAATATTTTATTTACAATTATATACCCCTAAAAAGAGCATCTTCTTTTTCTTGGTCATCGGGTGGATGCATAGTGAATGGAAATATGGCTCTTAGACTAACATGATTTCAGCTTACCTGTAGCTGAACCCTCCCCGAAAAGAGGGATAAACAATGGGAGGGATTTTTCTTTTAGCAAGGAATTTGGTCATTTAAAGGGGTACACCTGGAAACGACGACCCATTAACCCTTTAAGCCCCAATACATGTATCTACATAAAAATTCTCCAGACTGAGAGAATTTGACAAAAAATCAAAGCTTTCTCTTTAGTGACTCTTTGGCTGGGGTATGTTGTGCAATAGAAGCAATAAATAATTATTAATATTATTATTTATTAAATATGGGTAGATTGCCTCTTACCCCGGAGAAATGGGTAAGTTACTGGGTAGAACGTTAATGCCATTATCACATCTTGAAAATAATGGTTGCCTTTTGTATAACTACATGTACATGGCAAACATTTTTGCCTACCCATACCCGTAGACGGAAACAGTCTACTGTATCTTTTTTCAAATTACCTTATGTTTTCTTCTGAAACAAAGGAAAATTTCACATGAGATGGAAGATCAGTTTATTGGTGCAACTTCTCCTATGCACCCCTTCAATTTAAATTCATCAAGTGTCTGTACTAACCACATTGTATTATTTATTAATATTTTTCTAGGAAAGAAAAACACAGGCCCAACAATTCAAAGACAGAGGCAATGATTACTTCAAAAGATCAGGTATATGTCTAATGAGATTTTCTTTTAAGGTAGAATGATTATAAATATTATGCATGAATATTACAAATATGAAATCATAACGTAACCATATACAATGTACAGTGCTGTACATGTAAGTATGAAACTCCCAATGAAACAGGATCTTTTTACCGTGAGTATATCATAAACACAATTATTTGTATATTTTTTGTATTTTTTTTTTGTAGAATACCCTGAGGCTAAAGAATTATACACAAATGCAATAAAGATATGCCCAGATGACTTCACCAAAGAAAAGTCAGTATTTTATGCTAACAGGGCAGCCTGTCTGGTTAAGATGGTATGTTCTTTATGATAGTCATTTTGTTCTAATAATAATAATGTACCACAGCTTAATGTACACCTTAGTTTATCCAAGGTTCTAGTAGCATGGGTTTGGATATCATTTATATTATGTTATTTATAAGCAAATACTGTGGAATTTCATTTAAGAAGTCAAAACCAGATCTGGTCATTTACATATATCAGTATATGCTCTAGTAAGAAACACTTTCAATTGATAAACCTATTACACTATAAGTGTAGTCACCTATGACGTCAGGGCATTTGGCTGAAAGCTCAGAATAATTATGTTGTAAATTATCACTTGCAAAAATTGTAATGATAATATTGAATTGTTTTGAATTTCTTATCACACATTATTAAAGTTCATGTACATACATCAGGAAGTTGTTGAACCGCTCTTGTTATGTATTAACCAAACTTTTATCATAAAGTAAATGCTTTTATTCAAATGTTGACTGAATAATGATCACTCACTGGAACTCAAAACAAAGTAAAAGACCAGCTGGTACTCCAAAAATTATTGTAAATTATTTATGACCTTGAGAAACATTATACATGTATTTTTATGTGCCGTTTCTGTACCTCCTTGATACAGACACCCTTATTGTGGACAACTCTCCTGGTTGCAAAGATGTCAAACTTTATAATTATGATTCTCTATAATACGGACAACTCTGTAATGCAGACATTTGGCTCTGTCCCTTTGCTGTCTGTGTTATTATTAGAGGCCTACATGTATCTTAATTCAAAGGTTGAATATTATGCTTTAATCCTTTACAGGATCAACACAAGGAGGCAATAGAGGACTGCACAAAAGGTATAGTCTAGCACTTGAGTCATTGTCATCACTGTCATCATGATAATAGGGAGCTTAAGCTTAAGGTACAATGACGACGATGGCTACAAAAATGTCACTTTAAAGGGCAGCCACTCTGTTTCAAACTTAATCGTGCTTATTCCATCTCGTTCAATTTGTCAAATGTTGGCAATTTTTTCTGGAGATGAATTCTAACAGGTTGTATCAAAGTTCTGGAAAAGAAAAAGAAAGTCTTTGTCTTGTGTTCACATCCTCCACAAAACGTGAAATTAGACGTTTTCACGTTGTAGTAGTGCAGTGACGATAAAGAAATGCATACAAAAGGTGATGCTGTGTAGAGTTGTTGTTTTACCTATTTAAACCTTTTTTTGCCGTTCTTGTTAACGTCATTGTTGTCATTGCTTATTGAAGCTCCATATTCATAATCATAATACGTACGGTAGAACCGCTCTGTTATGGCCACCCTGGGGACAGAAGAAAGTGAGCATTTTGGAGAGGTGGCCATTATGGAGAGGTAAGAGGGTAATAAGACAAGTTTCATTGTGCTAAGTTCATGCTTACAGAATCCCATGATGGTAATCCAGTCATAATAATGTAGAGATAGAATGCACAAGAAGCTTGAATTATGTTTTCGAATCAAAATGTTGAAGTGATAAAATGAGCAAGGTTTTACAACATTGGCTATAAGTATCATAGATGATAATTATTTATGCTTACAGCTGTACTGCAGCTGGAAAAATGAAACCAAATCAAAATGCACGATTGGTGCGATTAATCATGAACGTGACAGAAGGATCAAATTTCATGACCATTCTTAACATTTTCATCAGTAGCTGAAAAACCTGACAGTTGTTGAGAGGTTATTTTGATAGTTGGGGACACTATTTAGTGGCCATTGCCATTGTAGAGAGGTGGCTGTTGTAGAGAGGTTTAAATAAAAGTCAAGGTGTGGCCTGTTTGCTGGGACAAAATAAAGTGGCCGTTGTAGAAAGGTGTCTGTTGTAAAGAGGTGTCTGTTGTAAAGAGGTGGCTGTTGTAAAGAGGTGGCCTTTGTAGAGAGGTGTCTGTTGTAAAGAGGTGGCTGTTGTAAAGAGGTGGCTGTTGTGGAGAGGTGGCCACTGTAGAGAGGTGGCCTTTGTAGAGAGGTGTCTGTTGTAAAGAGGTGGCTGTTGTAAAGAGGTGGCCATTGTAGAGAGGTGTCTGTTGTTAAGAGGTGGCTGTTGTAAAGAGGTGGCCATTGTAGAGAGGTGTCTGTTGTAAAGAGGTGGCTGTTGTGGAGAGGTGGCCACTGTAGAGAGGTGGCTGTTGTAGAGAGATGGCTGTTGTGGAGAGGTGGCCATTAGTGGAGGTTCAACTGTAATTTTAATATCTACTGTTCAGTGTCACTTAGGGAAGTGTTTAGTGTCCTCCTTTTATTCAATGACTGGCAAGATTTCCAGCCCAATAAGTCTTTTTTGTTTTCAATGACTGATTTCATGAACATGGACATGAACATGAAAGCGATTTCTTGCTTTCTTATTGGTTTAAAGTTTTTGTCTATGAGAGAATGATGATGGAAATTACTTAACCATGGCCGGATTTCATTTAGCCTTTTAATGTCTAAGACTGACCAACACTTAGTTTTTCCCTACATATTTGAGACAAATAGTTAGATCATGAGAAAAAAGGAAATGATCAACTGAAGAACTGAAAAGATCTTTATTGTTAAACAAATTCTCTCCATCAGTACGATAGGAAAGTGTGGAAAACAGTGAACAGAATATACTTGTTTATGTTACAGTTTAAAGAGTTAATTAAGGACTCCTTAATTTTTACAGCTTTAGACCTGAACCCAGATTACATGAAGGTGAGGCTCAGGAGAGCCCAATGTTATGAGCATGAGGATCGATTAGAAGAGGCATTAGAAGGTAAAAAAAACACACAAAGAGTCATTTCTTTTTTTACATTTTTGCTGAAAGAATTCACAAATAAGTTTCTTTATATAAATACCTAAGACGTGATTACATTTAGAACAATGTACATGTATTAATGTCCGGTCAAAGAGGCATTATTTTATTGAATGTTAGCACTATAAAAAGGATTTCCCATGCCAATCCAAAACTTAGAAGAGGAAAATCCTGTCATAGTAACTCAGTGTAAGAGTGAAAGGAGATGTCTCGCAGCTGTAACAAGTCCTCGCAGGACTGGTTGGGAAAATAATGAGAGAATAAAGTCAACCAGAATGGAAACTAGTCGTAAAACAAAAGAACTGTGGCATAAAAAGGTTATTAATAGGTGTGAAGGGACAGAACATGACCTCAATTCCCATGTTTTGTGTTTGTGGGAGGATTCATGCTTTTCTGCAATTTCTTAACAACTCTTCTTAGGAAAAATCTGGTTACAGAAGAAAATTAATAGGAAGAGAAGGAAAAAAAAACTACTTTGATATTGAAATTTTGCTTTCTTTGCATTTCCAAGCTGAAAGCATGGATATTTGTCCTGTTGCTGGCTAAAGTACTACGATTTCAAATTACACATTAATCATTTAATGATTTCAACTCTGCAAGGTGTTTAATATTTTTAATTATTGCTATTTTTGTTGCTCTTTTAGAGTATCAAAAGGTGTTTGATGCTGATCGTTCTTCTCATGTTGCTAGAGAAGCTTTGATGGTAAGCTAATAAAAATTTCAAAAAAATAATGTTGTATTTTGAAACCTTACTTGTACATTTGCCTTTGGTTGGCTGGCTATGAAAATCGGGATTGGGACATGGAAGAAAATACCATTTGTGCTGAGAAATAAACTGGTTAATGGAGCCCTGTAAGAGTTTGGTAGGGTCAGTGTCCTTTCAAGGGGGACTAGACAGGTTATGACCTGTTATGGAGGACACCTTTTCACCCCAGTTGTTAAGATAATTATCTGCAAAAAGTTACTCGGATTTACATTCATTTTTGTCACTTGAAATGGAATTAAGAACAAAATTTGGACTACATGTAGGAACAAAACATTTGGATTGCGATTTGAGCTCTTCCCTCCACCCTTCACATCTCTCACAAGAGGAACCTTTTTTATTGCATATTTTATTAGTTCCTGGCATTATTGCTTTGCATTAAAACAGATTGCACAGACGACAGGAAACTTTTCATAGATCTATCCTGTATTCCAGAGAGGTATAATATAGCATAACAGGTCATAACAGCACTATCTCTTTCCTTGGGTTTTCAGAGACTCCCAGAACAGATCAAAGTGAAACATGAGAAGATGAAAGAAGAAATGATAGGTACACATTATTGGTTTCTGTAGTTTAATGCATCTTAATATATAGACCTGTTATATATTGGACTGTCTGGACAGCAATAATCTGAATAACCAGAGCATCAGCCTTTTTATTAATGAAGGCTGTCATTAGGTCAGGTTATAACTACAACACAAATGGTCATCCTCGGTTTTTTTCCTCAGAACCATGACTGTCCAGAATCATACGCAACAATTATGCTGCACCCTAATTTCTCACAGCTTAACTGTTTGCCCCATGCACCCAAGTGATCTACCATGGCTCAAAAGAAAATTGAGAGACTGCTAGCAGTCAACTTATAAACTAAACATTCTTTTTTTTCTCATGACTATAAATAAGATGTAGGATAATCATCTTTCTTTTTTACTACAGTGAGAGTCATTTTAAGAATTATTGTGCTCAAACTTCCTGCAGTTGGCCAATATTTTGTTTTTATTTTTGTAGGAAAACTTAAAGAACTGGGGAATGTCTTTTTACGACCATTTGGCTTATCCACCAACAATTTCAAGCTCACACAAGACCCAAATTCTGGAGGCTACTCAGTCAATTTCCAAAAGTAACCCCCAATGGAATCAAGTGAGACATTGTCCTGGAAAATATTGTACATGCACCAAATTTAATTAAGGATCCGGGCCACAAGATGAATAATTTTACTTCAGTTATTCAAACACAGGACCTAGACAACACACTGTAGTCCTTCTCATTAGAGGATGCATCCATGTACATCAGTACTGTTTTATGAATAGTTATATTGGACAATATTCACATAAAGTTGGCAAATCATTTTTAAAAAAAGTAGAACAAGGCTGAATAGACACTACATTTTGCCAATCTTTGATGTCTGATAGATAGCAATTATTAATAAATATAATGAAATTCAGAACTGTTATAACTTTGTTAGTTATCTGTATGACATATTGGTACAAGATCTTAAAAAGGCATTGATGGCAAAGTGGAGTCTAATAAAAAATCAGCCTCTGCTGAAAACAATTTTTAAAAGACCTTTGATCATATCCTACAAGAGAGGTAAATCTCTGAAAGACATGCTCGTAAGAGCAAAAATGTAACTTGATTAGGCATTTGATAATGCTACGCAACCACAAAAAACACGTTGGGAGTCCATGCAGGTGACTTCCTTTCCTGGGTAATTATAGGCTCCTGCCATGAAGCATTAGAAGGGAAGAGGACATCAGTATGGAGAAAAGGCTACACTTAGAATCAGGGAGAGGAATTATGGAGCATTTTCACACATTTTCAAGTTTTTGAAAATATTTTTTTAATAAAAGATCCTGTTCAGGCACATACCCATTTAGGCCAGATAAGTGTTGCTTCCCCGCTTCCCTTCGGCTCCCGAACCGACTCTCTACCCCTGGCTGACCCTCTCGACGCCCGCTCCCCTCAAACAAATCAAGGAGAGAGACTTCCCGATTTTTTTTTTTTTTTAAGAGGGGAGGGGGTGTCTGTACACAGCCTTCTCTTGCTTGAGGTCTTTCGAATTGTTTTGACTTGTGTGTCAACTGCCTTCTACCCTTACCTCTGATGAAGATTCTTTCAACTCACGCAGTTTGCCAGATATGAGCGAATTTTTGTTTTTACTTTTGAGGGGGGGAGGGGGTGTTGATTTTTAGAGTTTGATACAAGATTTAGCGGGAGAAAGAAAAGTCTGTTATGTATTTTTTTAATATGTCATCCATAAAAGACCCTACTATTAGCGTTTTCACGGGGATTGGATTATTTTTGTTCTTGTTTCTTCCTGCCTTAATTTTGCCTAACAGTAATTGTTTACACAAAATATTATTTGCAAAAGAAGGCATCAAAATATTCTAGTTTTGGAAGAAGGAGGTGTTGTGTATTTTTGGTCCTAAAAATCAGCAACAGCAACAACAACAACCTTTTGTTGTATTCCCATTCCTATCCACGGTAAAGTAACGTGAGGGAAATACAATACAACAGGAGCCCATAACTCCTGTACACAATTATTAGCTAATTATTGGATCTAATTCAGATCTATTATCTACTTAGGAACGGTCTATTAGGAAAGTTATGCAGAGGGTGGGCAACTTTCGAGTCGAATAAATGTTTTCGTTAACATTTTCCTAGCCTGCGAAGTGCAGACGCATTTCCGGTCGTCGCTTCTCTCCTCTCCTATCAGTCGCTCGGGCAGCAGTCACGCAAGGACATCTCCCTTGGAAACGTTTCAGGGGCGAGGCTAGCTGAAAACGTTACTCTCCCTTTTTCGACTGAGTCAGTGCTCAAAAATGCTCAAAAGTACCATTAGTAGCAAAAGCCACTGTACTTCATTCAGCAAAATAGCTTCCTTTCACTGCTGTGCTATTTCGTGCGGATTTTTCTTGTTGAGCTTTGTTGTGATTTGTTGTCATTACGTGACCTTGGTGGGTGTGTACTTGTATGATGACCTCGTGATGTGATCACTTAAGTTGTATGATAACCTCGTGCTGGTATCGGCCTGTATCGAGCTCGGGGTATCGAGTTTGCAAAGTGAAAACGGTTTTTTGCTTCGACAGGGTTATAAACTACCGTATCGACACTGCTATTTGGCATTTCGCTTAACCAGTTTAATGCGAGCTTCATCTCCTTGAAACTGTTCTTAGACCCTTGGAAAAGAACCTTTAAGAAGATTCATGAAGCTACGTGCAGGCACGTAGACAACTTCCCACCTACTTAGGAGAATCACATGACTTTTCAGGGCTATAAATATACGGGTTCCTTGCGCTTGGCGATTTCAATGCATTGGGGCGATCCGAAGGTCGAGGCTTTAACATGGAGTCTGTGGTAACGGGTTCGAGCAGTTTCACGACTACGGAAACTCCTACAACACATAGCCGTCAAACAGAAATTGCAGAGTCGGACCTTAATAAGATCTTCACAACTACGGCTTCTTCATTGTCGCTAATCGGAGCACTTTTGATCATCATTACTTTCATAATGTGGCCTGATTTAAGAACAAACTCACGCAGAATGATCGTGTTCATATCCATCAATGATTTCTTCGTTGCTCTCTTTAACATCATCGGTATTTATAACCCGCCTTTGGACAACGAGATGTGCAGAACGCAGGCACTGGTTACCAATGTTGCGATTTTGTCTTCGTTCATGTGGACTTTGAATTTGTCGTATTACTTTTACCTAACTATCTGCATGAAGATCACCGTCAAATATGAAAGGCGAATTATGCAGTTACTTCATCTTATAGGGTGGGGAATTCCTATCTTGATAGGAATTATCGCGTTCACAATGGGCGCATATGGATTTTCCAGAAATGTTGGCACTTCTGGATGGTGCTGGATTTCGGAACATCAGAAATGGTGGAAAGTTGTCATGTGGATGTTCGTTACAGGAAAAGGCTGGGAGATTATGGCATATATTTGCATCTTCAAGTTTTATTTGTTTGTCATACTGCAGATCAGACGAGAGGTATGTGGAGGACTGGTACGCCTTTTCCTGACTAAACCTCTTATAGCTCCTTCCTCTTAACTAATATATTATTTACAAGTAGGAAAGAGAAGATAGCACACCTTGAAAGGGGGAGTTGGATCATAGACAATCTCTCTCCCCAGCCTGCATATGGAAGGAGCTAATCTCATCCAAGACCTCTTATCCCAGGGCACTGTTGATAGTCAAACATTGGATAGTCCCTGCATTGCCTGTGTTGTTGTTGGGGGCGGGGGGGGTTGGGGTTGGGCAGGATCTTATATGGACTGCTGTACATTGTATAAGCTGACAAGACTTGGCCTTGCACCCTTTCTTACCAGGTTGTAATCTTTTAATGAGGTAGCAGTACTAGAAAGATTTTAAAATGGGGATGTTCCACAAACCTCACTTCTTTGTATACATTCAATTTAGGAGCATCATGGATTTCAGAAGTACATAAAAAATTATTACAGCCTTAATTTCTTGCCTTAATATTTATTTGTTAAGTTTGCCTTACCCTAAGGTGACATTGGGATTCATCCCAGGTGGAGATTTTCTCACACCAAAGGCTCTAGAAGTAATAAATAAGGCAGAACGCAAGTTGGCTGTCATTCCCATGGTGTTCGTTTTGCTGCGTATCTGGGGAACCATACGATTTTTCCGTTTCTTGTATTTTCATCCTGAGGACCCGCCAGCAATAGAGTTTCTTGTTCTACTTCAAGTAAGTACATGTAGATGCAATTACATGCATATATTATATACAAGTTGGTTTTATGGAAATGTAGGGGAGACAGGCTTTATTTCAATATTAATCATTCTCATTAATGAAAACTCGTGTTAGTCAAATTTTCACTTAATCTGGGACAACATTATTCAAAACAAAATCAGCACAGCATTCAAGGCCCCTCCCTTCTCCCCGCAAACAAAATCCGTCTTAGTTTCCCAATTCCAAACCCTCAATGGTTCAGTCAACCAGTCAGAAGCACTATTCAGATCAGTGTAGTGACACAGTATGGAATTTCCTTAGACCTCATTTCACAGGGAAACCATCTTTAGCATCACAAAACGTGTGCTGTTTTCTCAGGCTAAGGATTTTTGAAAGAAATTTGGAATTTGTCCTGAATTTTCTGCACTTTATATCCTCTATTAGGAATGGAAAGGTTCAGGATGGCATAATTTCATAATATATTATTATTTTATTCTTAGTTGGTCTCTTTTATGTTACTTCTTTTCAGGGCATTGGGGACAGCAGCCAAGGCTTTGCCAATTTTGTTCTGTTTTGCTTATTCACTGATCACATCAGAAAGAAATTCAGACTTTGTTGTGTGCGATTTACACCATGGTATCAGTATCAGGAGAAGGATCCACTGTTTGAGAGTACAAAATTCCCTCTGAATGAGACAACAGACTTCAGTTCAAACTCTTATGGAGCAAGCAATTGCATTTCTGTTTATTCAATGAATCATCCTGCTTAATTTGCACACTTGCTTCGTTTCTATTATCTTAGTTGTGGACAAGTGGGGTTTGAGTCTTGAGTGCAGCTTTTATTTTACTGCAAAGGCTTGATTCAAAACCTGTGTATAAACTTTTATATTAAGACCAATCTATTTTTATCTTTTTGATCTTTTACTTTCTTGGCAAGGCTAGATGGACGAACAGTGCTTGTTGAGTTACTAATATCATAAAAGAAAAATAGAGACAAAAATTTATTCCAAAGTGTACAAAAATGATTCACATGCCCTCAAACATGTGAAGTAATCAACAAAATAGCTAAGGAATAAGGGAAGAAGGATCGCCTGATCACAGGTTACAAAAATGGCTCGAAAATCTCATGCATCAAACAAATGATAATTATAATCTGATCAATAATTGCACACCTGCAAATAATTTTGACTTGGAATGTTAAGCGGTGGGCAATTCAGGTCTTAAGGTAGACGGGGTCCTGCTCTTTAGACAAAACAAAGTCTTTTTTGTGCCTCGGCCTTTGTTCTTGAAATAAGGAGACTAGGGCCACTGTCCCCTCCACTTGATCTCCCGCTGTGAATCAATAATATTGTTGTCTGAGCATGGTTTCTGTTGTTCTTTAGATTTTTAACTTATGCTTTATGCATCAAGTTAATTAAGTAATGGTCCAGATAAGAAGCAGTGAACACGTCGGAATGCAGAAAGGTGCTAACTTTTCTATTGTCTCTACTAAGGTTCTGATTGGTTTAAACATCAAATTTTACGAAATCTTCCCAAAGCAGCAAGTATATTAATCCCTTTTTTTCTATCCAACTTCCTTATAACAAAATCTCGTCTGAGTCTAAGTAACACAGAAATCGTATGTGCGGATCATGTAAAATTGTGAGCATTTCTTGGCCATTGTTTGCAACTCATGTGATTGGTCGAAATGTTTTAACACAAAAATACACCCTTAAAAGTGGAGTTAAATACATTTTCTCTCGTAAACAGCCTTTTTGTAGATTTATGCATTCTCTGCGTAAAAATGAAAACATTTCTATGTGAGGAAAGCGTATTGCGCCACAACAAAAGAAATTGCTTCCCTTCTTGCCTGGACCATTTCTTAAACTGGCAAGCAATTTATAATTACTAACTTAATGCTTAAAGGTTTTCATTTGTGCAAATTTTGATGATATTATAACTAGCTGCTAAAACATAATTGAACCATTAAAGAAGCCATGGCCTTAAACAAGGACAGCAAACTATATTTTAACGACTGAATTTTAGCTTACTATCAACAGCAATTTTAACCGATGCAGCAATGTTTTTAAAAGTTTATAAGATTATATTAGTCTGTGACAATAAGAGTAAGTACGGAATTTGTATTTGTTCTTAGACTGTAGATCTATTGTTTTGCGTTATCGCAAAAGTTATCGAATATATTAAACTCAAAGAAAGGTTACTTTTGTATAGCTTGGAATGGCGGACTGACGGAATGATGGAACAGGATGGCAGAATACACAGAATATTCTAAAATATGGAATGTACGGAATACTCTAAGACACGGAATTTACAGAATATTCTGTGTTTGATTTGAACTGGACTGACAAAAAAGCAGAGGCAAAGAATACTCGGTTGGTTTGAAATATTAAAAATTCGCTGAATTTTCTTACTGCTGTACTCTATAGAGTACTCAAGTGTGACATCATAAAAATGAAATTTCTGAAATCATGGGATTTGTTAGGATATTCTGAAGGAACAATGTCGAAGAGGCCTACTTGCCAAAAATGAGCATTTTGGTGCAAATTCTCTCTGAGATCGTAGCCAGTTATGCTTGGGTTGACCCAAAAAAATTTAGAAGGGTTTTATGGAGTTTTCGAAGTATAACCGGCTAACATCTTAGAGACCATTTGCCCCGAAATGCTCATTTTTGGCAAGTAGGCCTCTTGGACATTGTTCTTTCAGAATATCCTTACAAATCCCATGATTTCAGAAACCTAATTTTTATGATGTCATCACTTTAGTACTCCATAAACCCTTTAAGCCTGTAAGTCCCAATAGTGACTAACAGCAATTTTCTCTTAACTATATCCTTACATTGTCATGAGATGAGGTTATGAGAATTAATAAAATGATCACCTAAGAGAAAATACTTTGATCTTTTATCAAATTCTCTAAACTAATTCTTAAAGGAAATGTATAAAGATCAGTTTGGAGAATTTGTATGTGGATATTGGGGCTTAAAGGGTTAAAAAATATGACGGTTTTGAAAGCTATCTTGACCGGTGAAGGGTCTCGTATAGGAATCTAATGTCGGATGATTTTCATAAAACGGCTGTTCAGAAAAAAAAAAAGAATTGTAAACTTAAGCTTCACAGCAAAGGATTGACTAACAGTTGGGGCGTGCCTGTACTTAAATTTCTCCGGAGGCTTGCGTTAGATTTTCCGTATATTTGTCTGTAATTTTTCCCGGGACTTTCTTACAGACAAATGTATAGGAAATTTTAAAACCATGGTTCTAGGTCTTCTGGCGCATGTAACGCCCTTAAAATTTTTCTAGTAGAATCCTTAGGAGTGAAGCTTTAATATACAATTCACACTTTTTTTAGAACAGCCGTTTTAAGCGGAAATTATTCGACATTAGATTCTCATCCAAACACCGTAATTTCTCACGCGTTTGCCCTATTCGTCAAAATGGCGTCGAAAACCGTGACAAGGTCTATTGGTGGACCGATCAGAGAAACTGAGGTGGGAACAAGCGCATAGGTAGCAACAAGTTGAATGTATAGAGCATAAAAACGTTGTGGTAAGTGGGAGGCGGGTTAGAGCGATTTGGATCATTGTTCGCACCTCTGGAAAAATCCTGGCTGCGCCTCTGGTATATAATGTCTCCAGAAACAATGCAGCGCAGTTTTTGCATTATAAAGAGAGAACTTTATTTACAAACGAAACAACTCATCGTATAAACAGAACAGAACTAACTTGCATCTCCCTTTCGTTCACCACAACAGTCACTGAACAATTTATAGTGACACTGACAAAAACCATAAAGTATGGTTCCAAGAAATACTCCTTATGCACATCATGGTTGTTTTTCGCAAGTTAGTGCGGTATTTTCTTAAAAGGTTCATCACTGATCATGTTAAACGGAAATCGGAGCATGCACTTTTCACTACGCTTGCATTCCTTGTCCTTATCAAAATACCGTTCTAGCCGACTTTGCCTAGACCACCTCCATGGGCGGTTTTAGGGGTGGGCCGATGAGGCCCTGGCCACTTCTTTTCCTTTGAAATTTTGTATTATTTTTATAGAATTCAGCCTCAGAAAAGTAAAAAGTGTCTAGAATAGAACTGTTAAGTGACCTGGCAACCCCTTTTTGAATATTCTGGATCCGCCCCTGACCTCTGACATTCAATTTGAAGATACTGACCGCATTCTTGGCCATTAGGCTTATTGTAGAAGCTGACCTAGGACTATAAATTCCAGTTATTTACAAGACAGAGAAAATAACTATTTGGAAAGACTAAAACACCTCACGTTAAACTGCAACATTGTCCTTATAAAAGAAGAAAGGAAGAAGGACTCTCCACCATAATCCACCCAAGTGAGAAAGGCGAAGAGGCGCCTAAATGTATATTGATGTCTGTTATCACAACAATAAAACTGTGCTGTCAAGACCAAAAGAGGTGACCGCAAGTTCGGTCCGTAATAGGCTAGCGGCAGTTTGTTTCCCTCAAATGTCTCTAATTTCCGTATTCAGGCGGGGTGTCCGTAATCGCGTCCGTAAGGCGAGCGTTTACTCACTTGACTGTACCTGAATCGGGAGCCCCGCCAGGACCTGAAGCCTGAACGGGCAGAGCCTCCCGCGTAAGCCTTTATAGGGAGTGCCCTCCCCCCACCCCGGCCGCCGCCACCCCTGGGTTACAACTGCGACGTGGGCTCCTGTTATAACCCAGTTAAAGTAACATGATTATGGTCTCCTGCGTGGGAGGCTATGACGATCATATCTTCAGTTGAAGAGGAGATTTTTGCCAAAACGGAAACTTCTCGTCTGTGTAGAGACACCCCCCTCCCCGCCCTTCAGTAAAAATCGGATTTTTTCGGAGGGGAGGGGTGGGTCGCTACACAGGTTTGGAGACTTCTTCCCTGGGAAACATCCCAGATCGGGAAAGTAAGATGTTAACAAGTTGTGCAGTATCGCCTTCTTTCATCTCTATATATAATATTCGTCGTATCAGGAAGTATTTGGACCAGAAAAGTTTCCTAACTTTGGTGCATGCTTTTATCACAAGCTGACTGGATTATTTTAACAGTCTACTGTACGGACTTCCAAACACTGAGATCCCCAAGTTGCAAAGAGTCCAGAACGCCGCAGTTAGGCTTGTTACCTCTTCTTCTAAGACCCTGTTTACATGGAGTGGGGGACCCCGGTCAGGTGGGGTAAGTTTCTTTTGTTTTGTGTCCCCCGGAGCGTGAAAACAAAAGGAACTTACCCCACTAGACCGGGGTCCCCCACTCCATGTAAACAGGCCCTAAGTTCAGCCAAGTTACCCCGGTACTCTATGAACTTCACTGGTTGCCAGTGAGATTCGCATTTCTTTTAAGATACTTTTAATCGTTTTTAAATCTTTGCTTGGTCAGTCACCCCACTATATGAGTAATTTAATTTCAGTAAGGAATCAATCTGCCTATCAGCTGCGATCAAACGATGGATTACCATTAGATTTCCCTCGTGGGAAGATATTGACATCTTTCGGAGACAGATCTTTTTCTGTTGCTGTTGCCACATTGTGGAATGCATTACCCACTCCCTTAAGGAAATCAAAAACAGTTGAACAGTTTACATCCTTCAAAACATATCTTTGTAAACTAGATTTAATTCTTAGTATTTTAATTTTTTTTTTTAATTTCATAAGAGTTTTAGAATTCATGATGTAATGCGCCTTTGATCATTGCATGATAATTACTATTGAAAAGAATAACATAACTTCTCTTGTTGTGTAGCTTTGTGTTGTCGTTGCGAGACATGAGTGGGTGTGTACTTGTAAAGTGCCAATGTTTTTTGCCTCGACAGGGTTACAAACTGACCACTCTGCTATTTTGCCTTTCGCTTTACCAATTTGACGCGAGTTTCATCTCCGTGAAACTGATTTTTATCCTTGCAAAAGAGCCTTTGAAGAATCACGACGGGACTTTCCTCTACGACCCAGTGGGCAGCGCCGGGTTGTTCAAAGCTGGGTTAAGATCACCCAGGGTTAGTGCGAAATTTGAATTCAGATATGAAAGCTTATAAAGCAATTTCAGTTGACTCGTTTTGTCTACAATTTGGTGACTGGATGCTCTAAAAAGAATAGAGAAAATTAATATCCGAGAAAATACTTTTGATAGAAAGAAAAAAGAAACCTGGGTTAAAATCTAACCCTGCGTTACCGCTAATCGGCTTTAAGACAACGACGAAGACTGAAGATGATGATCATGTGGATGTCCATTACAGGAAAAGGCTGGAAGTTAATGGCACACATTTGCATCTTTATTTATTTGTTGATCGTTCTGCAGATCAGACGAGAGGTATGCTCAAGAGAACAGAACCTTTTCTTGATTCAGCCTCTTCAGATACGACCTTTCACTTCCTTCGCACACTTCTAAATGGAAACTAATTTATAATTCACAACAAGAAAACAGTAAAAATATCAGTAAGCATAAGCGCACCTTGATAGGGGGGTTACAGGAGGTACACTAAAAATTTGACTAATGCTTACCCTTTCTTACAGGGTGGTAGTGGTTACTTGCAGTAAATGTAAACGTAGGTACTGTTTATAGTAGCGGGTTAAGACCGAGGCTACAATCACACTATACCTGGTAGCTTTTCCACTGGCATGACAATCATATCAGTTAGGGCTTCTGTTCATCCACACTGAGTACAGTGCATTTGGCACGATTCCTCATCGAGCGAAGCTGGAGTACGCCAATCTCTAAAGTGGAGAGTCACATATCAGATAGGTGTTCACACCACACAGGATAGCCGCTATAGTATGAACATAGCCAAAGGGAGGTACTAATATGCTTACCTTTCACAATTACTGCCGGGCCATTTCTAAACAGATATTTGTTTGGGGATGCTCCACAAACATCGGTACCCGTTTTGTGTTCATTTTAATAACGGGCATCATGGATTTCTGGACTTCATTTTAATTAGAGACCTAATTTCTTGCCTTAACATTTATTTTTTAATTATTTACCTCACCTTTAGGCAGGGGCACCCAAAGACAATTTTCGGAAAAATATCTGTTCGGAAGACGATTTGAGATCTAGAATTTTGGGAACATTTGTTGTAAAATTATTTGCTTGCCTGCCTCTCCTAGGATTTTCGAACATCTAAAAAATGGTAAAAAATTTTCGAACAGGTTTTTGCCCATTTTTCAACGGATTTATACCCAGAAAAATTTGGTCAAAATATGCCCATAGAATTTTTTCGAGAATATTTTTTGCTGGCTTTGAAATTTTCGAACAGGTAAGTTTTGATCCCTATAATTTTCGGATCACTAGACTTTCAGCTAGGAAATCCGAACAGATGAAAAATTTATAGGGGATAAAAATATGCCCATATTTACCGTTTAAATACTAAAACACGTTTAACAATGCTGTGTTTAAGTGGTTTTGAACTATATTCTCGTTGGGTGCCCCTGTTTAGGTGACATTGGGATTCAACCCAGGTGAAGATTTTGTCACACCGAAGGCTCTAGAAGTAACAAAAAAAAGCAGAACGCAAGTTGACCTTCATTCCTATGGTGTTCGTTTTGCTGCGTATCTGGGGAACCATACGTTTTTTCCGTTTCTTGTATTTTCACCCTGAAGGCCCGCCAGCGATAGACTTTCTTGTTTTCCTTCAAGTAGGTACATGTAAACGCAATTACATTCATATATTATGTTATGAAAGTTGGTTCTATGGCGATGAAGGGGATAGGCTTTACTTCAATTATATTAATCATTCTCATCATTAATGAGAATCTTTGAGAATCTCCTTTTTGACTGAATCTGGGACGTCAAATCAGTATGTAATTTCTGCGCTGATGTCTCAGGTGTCATTTCGTAGGGAAACGATTGGTGGCATCATAAATTATTGGCTATTTCCTCAGGCTAAGGATTTTTTTAAAAGAAATTTGGAAATTTTGTGAATTTTCTCCACTTTGGCCTAAGAATGGAAAGGTTTGAGATGGCATAAATCAATCTTATACATGTATTAATAAGTATTTTGCACTGACTTGGTCTTTTTATGTTACTTCTTTTCTGGGCATTGGGGACAGCAGTCAAGGCTTTGCAAATTTTTTTCTGTTTTGCTCACTCACTGATCACATCAGAAAAAAATTCAGACTTTGTTGTGTGCGGCTTACACCATGGTATCATGAGAAGGAGAACGATCCACTGTTTGAGAGTAAAAAATTTCCTCTGAATGAGACATCAGACTTCAGTTCAAACTCTTATGGAGCAGGCGATTGCATTTGTGTTTATTCACTGAATTATACTGCTTAAGTTGCACACTTGCTTTGCATCTGTTCTCTTAGTTGTGGGCAAGTGTGCAGCTATTGTGCTGAAGAGGGCATTTCAACCCGTACATAAACTTGGCGGGGGTGTACATGTGCACGACCCTATTTCAGACAAAAAAAGCCATTTACCACACCCGTTTTCAGACGTGGCCTCTAAAATCCATGCCCTTTTTCCGACCTTACCCCTAAGAAATTATGTCATCATTACTTAGATTAAAAGCCAGCAAATAGATGTTTCTCTTTCTTTCTTATTCATTTCTAAGGGAATTGAGACAATAAATATGTTCATACACTAGCGTAGTTTCCTCTAAAACCATACCCGATTCCAAACCAAAATGGGCAAAGTCCATACCATTATGGGCTCCTGTCTATACGCGTTCTCAGACCAGAACTGCGCAAAAACCATACCCTTTGGCCGGGGCGGCGCATATATATATGGTTTATATAAGGGAGTACCCCCTGCGCCATTAGTTTGCGACGAGTCCTTATGAAACTTTGCAGTTTTGCTTGAAATATCGATCTACGGTAGTAGTTTTTTGAAAGAAAAATACGAAAAATTGCATTTTTTTAGCTTTCATAACGGTCGCTTTATGTGAAGCTTAATGTCTACACAGGCTATAGCAATTTTGCGTGACATCTGCGTAACGCGTTATTGTGTGACCTAAGTGGGTGTTGAGAGGGTGTAGTCTAATACGATGACCTCGTGAAGTTACATGTCTAGTGGTTGGCCTCTGCTTGTAGCGAAATCGAAATTCGCCCCATTATCGAGGCCTCTCTGAAACAGAATGCAAATACATGTAGTTTTTGCTTCGACAGGGTTATAAACTACCGTATCGTCACTACTATTTCCTTTCACTTTGCCAGTTTAATGCGAGCGTCATCTACCTGAAACTGTTTTCGATCCTTGGAAATTTATATCGGATTATACCTGCAGGTCACGTAGACGGCTTCCCATCGACTGATGAGAATCACGGGACTTTGAGGGCCAAGAAACACAGCTACAGATTGAGTATGTTGCGCGATTTCAATTTGAGCGAAGGTCGAGGCTTTAACATGGAGTCTGTAGTAACGGGTCCGAGTAATCGTTATCCTATAACATATGGCCCCCAAACAGAAATTGCAGAGTCGAACCTTAATAAGATCTTCACAACCACGGCTGCTTCATTGTCGCTAATCGGAGCACTTTTGATCATCATTACTTTCATTATGTGGCCTGATTTAAGAACAAACTCTCGCAGAATGATCATGTTCATATCCATCGGTGATTTCTCCGTGGCTCTCTTTAACATTATCGGGATTTATAACCCGTCTTCGGACAACGAGATATGCAGAATGCAGTCACTAGTTACCAATGTGGCGATTTTGTCTTCCTTCATGTGGACTTTGAATTTGTCGTTTTACTTTTACCTGACTATCTGCAGAAAGATCTCCGCCGAATATGAAAGGCGAATTATGCAGTTACTTCACCTCATAGGGTGGGGAATTCCTATCTTGATAGGAATTATCGCGTTCACAATGGGCGCATATGGATTTTCCAGAAATGTTCTCACTCCTGGATGGTGCTGGATTTCTGAAAATCAGAAATGGTGGAAAGTTGTCATGTGGATGTTCATTACAGGAAAAGGCTGGGAGATCATGTCATATATTTGCATCTTCAAGTTTTATTTGTTGGTCATACTGCAGATCAGACGAGAGGTATGTTCAAGAAACCCACATCTTTAATTTCCTGATTCAGCCTCTCATGCCCCTTTCACTTCCTGTTTACACTTCTAAACTAATTTATTATTCACAAGGAGAAAACAGAATTTGACTAAGGCTGCATTGCCGGCTGAGTGCATTCATTTATAAAGGATTAAATTAACTACAAAAACCGTGGACGAAGATCCTGCTAGTTGTAAACGTTGGATCTCTAGAAAAGAGATTTAATCAGCCAAAATACAAAGAACCAAGAACAAGAAGTCCAAAGACTACTGCAAAGCTGATTCAGAACAACATGTATTGTTTTTTAACCATAACAATATTTTGGCTGGCCATACCAGCCTACTTCAGGTTTACAGATGTTACTGAACTTATGTAGGAACAGTAACATCTGTAAACCTGAAGAAGGCTGGTAAAAAACAATACACGCAAAGGATATTTTTTTGAAGGGCAAAATTTTTAAATATCCCCCCACATCATACAGAATTTTTTGACATCCCGTCCTCTTGGTTCACAGATTTTAGTATTTCTGGTGTAAAGTGTAAATTAAAGAAAGTTGTAACAGATTAAAGCTAGCTGTGCCTCACAGGGAAATATTTGCATACCAGGGCCATCATGTGGCAGCTTACATGTAGATTCAATGATGAAATGCAATGATTCCGAGATAGGTTAAACTTGTACGGTGGCCCAGAAGGGTCACACATGCAAATTAAAAATGTTGCTGCAAACTAAAAATTTTACCTGCAAATTAAAAATAGGGCATGCAAATTAAAAATTGTACTTGCAAACTAAAAATATTACAAACATGAAACATGAATGGGCCGACGGCTGTAAGGCCAGGTCGCACAGCTCAGACCAGGTCCTCATCACTCATACTGTGCGCGCAGGACTTTTCATTTTTGATCTGCATCGATATGTTTTCTTTTTTAATTTGCAGCACAATTTTTAGTTTGCATGTACTATATTTAATTTGCAGGTAATATTTTTAGTTTGCATGTACAATTTTTAATTTGCATTTACTATTTTTAATTTGCACCTACATTTTTAATTTGCATGTGTGACCCTTCTGGGCCACCGTAAACTTGGGACCTAGACTAGCAAAGAACAAGCCCAAGTGCTTGAAAAGAAAACAAACAATAAAAAGCCAACAAAAAGGCATTTGAAAAGCTATACAACTTCTGAACTGGTGCTAAAAGATATTGAATGGCCTGATCAGTTAAGCAGAAAAAGAAAAGGGAATTGCAAGTCAGCCTATCTCTGAAGAAAGGTCCACGTACTTTACATTTAGTGAAATACAAATCTCTGCGAAAAGGAAAAGAAAGTTAATTCACTATTTTTAAGTCCAAATTACCAGCTATAGAGCATAATGCATCACCAAGAGAAACAAAAATGAATATAAAATTTGTTATGCATCGGGTCAAAATTTACCCTTGTTCAAGTTTATTTTCCTTTTACCAGGGAATGGTAAGGACTATGAAAATGAGTCACAATGATACAAATACTTAATCTTTCAATGCAGACATCTAAAAAAAATCAGCATTCCCCTTCCTTCCCTCAGAAATGTTTACCATCACCCCCTTTTCCCTTAAGAACCCCCCCAAAAAAAAAATCCTCTGCCCCCCTCCCCCCGCCCCTTGTGCTATGCATAATGAATGCTGCCTAATGCTTTGGTTTCTCCACCCTTTGATTCAATTCAATTCAATTCAATTCTTTATTTCACACTATATAAGATATTTACACAAGTGTATGTAGGTAGGAAAATAAAGTAGCCGATAAATCATTGAATTGAATTAAGAGTGTTACATTAGCTCTCCAATAACCACACAAGACTCAGCTTTAATGTGCCCTTTCTTACATAATTTTAGGTTGTTATCTTTAAATGTTTGCTTGAAACAATTTTTGTGTTTGTGTCTTAGTGACAATTTGCAGTAAATGCAAACGTGGATATTACGAATAGTACTAGGTTAAGACCAAGGAAGGTTCTAAAACAAAATAATATATTACCTTTAATTTTCACAGTGTCTGTAGCCCAGGGCCATTTCTATTAATACCCAGAAATAAAGGAAGGAGTAATAAGCAATTAAAGTTTTGTTTGGGAATGCTCTGGACAAACTACATTTTGAAATTTAATGCCTTAATATATATTTCTTTATTTTTACCTCACCTTAAGGTAAGATTGGGATTCATCCCAGGTGGAGATTTTCTCACACCAAAGGCTTTAGAAGTAATAAAAAGAGCAGAACGCAAGTTGACCATCATTCCCATTGTGTTCATTTTGCTGCGTATCTGGGGAACCATACGATTTTTTCGTTTCTTGTATTATCTCCCTGAAGACCCACCAGCAATAGAGTTTCTTGTTTTCCTCCAGGTAAGAAGACTCAGTTATCATATTATGCTTTTATAGTTGGCTTGTCAGCTATATAATAATAGAGCAAGGCTTTATTTTACCATTATAATCATACTCATTAATGAAAACTCGTTGAATGATCTAAAAGATGCCCTGGGGCCCGTTTCTCGAAAGTCCCGGTAACTTTTCGGGCCCGAAATCAAATATTCAAATCGAAATATAAAGAATAAGAGCGCGGGTCCCAGCTAGCAGACTACTCCATTTTGTTTCACTAAGTGATGGTTTTATCATGCTAGATGCAAAACTATTGAAACCTCGATCTTTAATGCAAACGGCGACAGCTTACCGGGCCCGTTAATTATCGGGACTTTCGAGAAACGGGCCCCAGGGCATTTATTTAATTTTAGGGATCCAGGGGGTGGGGATTGGGTAATAGGTAGGAGGCATTTAAAAGGAGGGGATTTGAAGCTAAAAAAAGTTCCCACAATATATTACTCTCTTGCAAAAATTCATTTCAAAAATCCCAGATTGTCCTTCATTTTCTTGTTCTTTGCTTGGAGTTTAGAATATTCCCTGGAGTCTCAAACTTTTACTACAGTTCTTGTAATGCTTGTGATGCCATCTGCAATTTTTGGATTGGTAATTTAAAATGACTTGGACACCAAAAAATCTCTATCCTCCTGCTGTATTTTTTTAACATTTTTCCTGCTTGTTGTGAGGACTGTAATCACTCATAATATTGGTTTAAAGCGCAATTAAATGCATCCCCAGGGGGAGAAGGAGATTCTCCTAGAAAATTTATTTGGGGTGCATCCTGAATTCCAGACCCTTGTTTCAGGCATCTAGAAAAGGAAGACCTAGAAAATGAAGACCAAAGACCTAAGACCTAGAAAATGAAGACCCTAGAAAACGAAGACCCCCCCTGGTTTCTGAGGTCAGCACATTTTCAATCAGCAGTACTAGCGAGATCAGGGTACTTGTAGTGAATCCTGAGTCATCAGATCAGTTAACCTGAGATCAGGCTCTACTTTCGTTTCGCTTTGAAAATTGCACTGGTTTCTCAGATGTCATCTTGCAGGGAAAATTGGTGGTGTCATAAATTACTGGCTGTTTACTCAGGTTAAGGATTCTCTGAAAGTGGAAGTTTTTGTGAATTTTGTGCACTTTGGCCACTATGTTAGGAATTGAAAGGTTTAAGATGGCATAAATTAAATCCATCTTACATATCTTTTTACAGGGCATTGGGGACAGCAGTCAAGGCTTTGCCAATTTTGTTCTGTTTTGCTTACTGACTGATCATATAAGAGAAAAATTCAGACTCTGTGTTGTGAGGTTCACACCATGGTATAACTATCTGGAGAAGGATCCACTGTTTGAAAGTACAAACTTCCCACTGAATGAAACAACAGACTTTGGTTCAAACACGTATGGAGCAGCAGCTGGGGATTGCATTTCTGTTAAATCAATGAATTAGTTATGTAATATGCAAACTTGCTTAAAGTAAGACTTGAGACTTTGAATGCAACTATTTTACAGCTGCAGAGGGCATTTAAAACCTGTACAATAAACACTGGAATGGACCAATCTATTTTTTACTTTTTGATCTTTTTTATCACTGGCAAGGCTAAATGGACAAACAGTCCTTAATTGTTAAGTTAGTAATAAAAAATATCATAAAAAGAAGATGGATACATAAACTTTATTACAGGTTTAAGGATTATACAAATTTCTGTTGTACATCCTTCATGAAGTAATAAGTTTTTCTTAAGATTTAGGGCTCTTCTGTATATTAAGACTAAGGACCAACTGTCTCCTCTCCTCCTCTCGATCTGCCACCGTGAATCATGAGCATTTCGGTGGCTATTATTTTTTAGGTTGTTATAACTTGTGCAGTTTTTAATAGCTTTGCAAATGAACAGCAATT